TTGACAATGACTTTGATATCCATCAACATTGATCAATATAGAACCACCAAGAGCACATAAATTTGTAGTCAACATAATGAAGCATAAACAGATTCCTTAGAATCCAACACTTACAACCATGGTAGTGAACGTAACTAAAAGAAAAATTCTCACAAAGAAATAAGAGTTGCAGGATGTAATGTGCATGACAGAAAATAAAGAAATTGATACATCCCACAAGGTGAATTTGGTGCCACAAAAAGTTCTCCTGATTTCTTAACTTTGATTTTCATCAATCCATCCAAAACTTGTTTACTCACCTAGCAAGTATTATTCTGATCAACAAGAAAACCATCCAATGACTAGCATAGTGAATTTTGTTTTCCTTAAAAAATTATTACTCAGTAGGTGAGTAATAAGGTGATCATTCATCATACATGATTACTTGTTCTGCTTAACTGCCTCTTTTGTCTATCCAAAAAATCCCAAAGTTGATATGAGATACCAGTAAAATTTAAACTACATCATATACAAAGCTACTAGGTGTATGATAAATTATTCCAGAGCAAGTCTATATTAGTAGCATGAAATACAGAAATAGTACATGATACAAAACCATATAAGCTAAGATTACGTTTTTATTTTCTTCTTTGCAGGCTGTCAAATCAGAGTAAAATAGTAACTTTCCTTGTGCAGACAATAAAAAGTTACTCTCGTATGCCTAAAATCAAGGCTCTGTTGATGCTCTTAAAACATAAGTGCAAAATGCATCATCAGATACAAATGTTGAAGTGATTGTTGCTTCTGCATAAAAAGGAAACTGATAGTGAAATCGATGTCACATTTATGACAAAAATATGTATTCTTCTGTGACTTTACTTCTGAATGAAGAGTACTTAAATCGGTCATGATCAAGAGCTCTCGAGCATAAGAACTGCTGTGAGACATTAATAAAGGTATCAGATCTCAAGCAGGACCCAGCACAAACTGAATGTAACGAACTAAATATGAACACTAAAATAGGGAAAACTATCTAATAAAGAAACAGCAGGACGTCCAATATTGCAAAGTGAAACAAAATAAAGTATAACGAGTTGTTGATGACAAGTTCTTAAAGCTTATTGATGTCATTTATAACATAGATAACTCTCAGCACGATAATTGCAAGCAGGTAATTAAAACAACCATTAGTTTCCTAACATAATATAAGGCATTACATTAACCATTACGAGCAACAATTTCAAGAAATAAATCTAACAAATGCAACATCACATTATGGAAAAACCACAAGCCGACAAAATGTAGGCATCCACCAAAACACAACCATAATTTACACAGCTCAACGAGGTCAAGCGAAACTCCCCTAATGCAGCCCGACGGCGTAAGCACTCCAAACAACATCCCAAATATCCAAAATTTCGACACTCCGAAACCTCACCTGTGAATCGCGGGTCCTTATCGGGGCGCCCGGAGCCCTCGTACCGCCTCACAAACGGAGGCAACCAGAATACCACCGACAGCAGCAGGGCGAGGCTGAGTATGAGCGACGCGACGCAGCGCGGCCTCGCGATTCGCCCGATCAAGCGGCAGCTCGGGCACTGGGCGCCGGCATTCTCCGCGGCTGCCTCCTGAAGGGCCGCCTGATGCGAAGGCGTCGGCTGCTCGTCCTCGGATTTCCCCATGGCACACCCACCAGATCTCCTCAGTCCGCTTCTCCTCCCCCGCGCACCTCCTGCAATGCCCCCATTGCCGCGAAGGCCGATGAGAAATCAAGAACTCGGAGAAGGGTAGGGTTTGAACGCTTAGGGTTCGAAGAAGGCGAAGAAGAGAGGGAGTGAGAAGGGGGAGGAGAGGAAAGATAATGGAAGGTGAGACAAAGGGAAACTTAAACTGGAGGTCAGTGGTGCGCTTTACTGTGCTTGCTGTTTTAACCCTTTTCTTTTTATTTATACTATTTAATTACTTTATTCATTATTATATTATCATTTATATATTATAAACTTTACTTTGCACAAAAGAAACTAAAATAGGGATTTTTGCGTTCACCCCCCTAATCCTTCTATTTTTACCATGCATGCCCTGCATCGTGCTATCCATATCTATAAAAATAAAAATATGTGCAATGTATTAATATTTTAATTTCTGATAAAAAAATTGTAGATGTGATCATCAATCAATAATCCAAAAAACAATGGAAAATACATCATAAATTCTGGAATTTAGTAAGAAGGCTTTATTGCAATTAGATCCTGTAAGCACGTATACGGAAATTAAGAATTTCGAGAGGTGTTTCTGCAAATTTTGGTCCCTCCTTTGAGGAGATAAAGAATGGGGCAGAATGTTGTGTATAATCACGGTAATGCCATCGTCGTCAAGCGAAGTGCGTCGGGTGTGGCGGTCGGTGGCGGAATTGATGGGGCAGCGGAAACGGGGACGAAGGCATGGCGTGTCTCTAAGCTTTTGTGCGTTGCTTCCATCCCTTAGAAACAGCATTGAACTGCTACCCAACGATGCATACTTTTCACGTCATAAGCAAGCGACCTGATGCTATCTATGGTGATCCAATGAGTAAAAAGAAGGGAAAGTGAACATGATGATCATTTAACCTAAAATTATGCTTTTATTTATTGCTTTATTTGATGTTCCATGTGATAAAAGGGGAATATTAACCATCCAAGAACTTTAGATCGAAGTTTTTGTCATCGACAATCTCTCTTTCGATTCGAAACGTAGAGGTGATTTCACATATGAGCTACTTACGATTTAAAATCGTAATCAAATCGAGTTATCCCTATCTACTCCTCGACTAGTATGATATATACTGTAATGTCATGATTATTTGAGAATAAATATATATATCTTTTATCGCTATCGAAGTACACGATAAATTATTTCGATCGATAATGATCAGATTCAGTAATTAAAATTAGGAAAATGATAAAAACCTCCGACGACTGAGAAGTCGAAGTAAAATGAGTAAATAAAAAATAGTTTTGCTGTAATTTTTAGTAAGAACGGGATGGGATGAGTGCAGTTGATGAGCAATAAGAACAGTATGTTGAGAGAGAAGGAACTCCAAGACGATTTGTTCTTGAAGTTTGTACTGCAAGATAATCTTGTACTTCCTTACCATCTTGTTCTTATTGTTTTCGCCTCATCGTGATTGTCTCATTTCCCTTTTTATTATATTCGATGTCTATTGCTTTAACTCCTATCATCGTTAACATATATATATATACATATACATACATATATATATATAGTCACATTTATAATTATATTTTTCTCACATTGGCTCCTGAGATAAATATAGTGTGACAATAAAAATCTAGAACTTAATTTTTTTAGTTCTGGATTTATATGTGAAAAATGGCCTCTCATCAAATATTTGTCAATTACAAAATTTTCTTTTATAATTAAAGTGATGATGCTACAATCACTTTTAAATGACCAAGGATGATAGGCATCAATAAAGTAAATTCTTACATTTGGAATTTTCTTTTAATAAAAAATCATTACATTAAATATAATTACAAATTATTTTTTTCCATAATTAAAATGCTGAGGCTATAACAGCATTGTTTTCATTCTCAATTTTTTTAGCTCTTCCACTAATCATTCAATGTCTCCAAAACTTTCTGACATTAACTGCATAAGAAACTGTAACTTATAATGACAAGTGACCTCTAAACAAAACTGAAGTTAACCTAAGATCAGATGAAGAGATCAATAAATATGGTACCATTTACAAGAATTATATTCCTACCTTCATCATGTAATGCATTGGATTCATCAAAAGCAACAAAGTTAGTAAGCATGTACTAACTCTGAATTATTTTTCTCGCTATGCTTGGAAAGTGCTTTTGTCAAATTGAAATGTCAAAGATTTTACTTCAATAGGAATAGCCTTTCTGATTTTGAAAAATTATTAGAAGCTTAAAAATATTATCATAAAAAATTAAAATATAAATGATTACATATAACGGTGTGTAATTTGGTATCAAATGCAGTCAAAAGAGACTTTAAGATGTGAAGCCAAATAGCCTTGCCATTCAGAACAGGGAAAAATAATAATATATCATATTTATGGAGCAAAAAAATCAAGAGCAAATTATAAAAAAAAATCCATAGTTTTTAGAAATTCCAACATAGTGTTCCATTCCCAAAAATTCTCACATAGCCAATTTTTTTTATTAAAAATTAATTTAACCTCTATATCCATCGCATCATCGTCTCCGTCCTTTGCCTTCGTCACCCCCCTGTCTCACCCATTGCTCATGGCCGCTACCCTCTACCTATGGTCCCTTCCTCCATCGCCCACGTATATTGCGTAAAACCTCTTGTCGAACCCTAATGGGAGAGGTGATGCTGTCCTCACACGTGATGCAGTTGTGGTGCGAGTCCATCTCTCGAGCTTGCTCCCGAGTCTTTGCTCTCCTCATTGGATATTGCCTCGTTGGTGAATTTGATTGCCTTGTCTGCTCCCTCATTCACTCTATCATAATCTATATCATGCTTTTCATCACCCTCTAATATGGATCCAACAATGACTCTCTCCATTCTATCACATCCTCCTATATCGTCGTTGACGATATATCATGCGCTCTTGCCCTTACTCGTGGTATGCAACTCCCATGCTCATCAACTTTCGATGATGGACAATAGAAGAAAAAAGGAAAGATGAGGGCAATAGGTGATGATGCATGAATGCAGCAATGGTTGATGAAGTAGAAACAAACGCAATATTATCATTTTAGAAAATAAAAATATTTAAAAAATAGACACTAATTGAAACTTTTTCAATATTAGGATTTTTTAAATTTACTTAAAATTGTATATATTTGAGAAAAACTTAAATATATTTTTAAAAATTAAAAACATTAAAAATTATAATTCTTATAATTTAAAGAATCTATTTAGTGAATCAAGGGCTTAAATGGGCCTTGGGCCTTCACAGGCTTATTTAATTGAACTGGGGGCAATTTTGTTGGCCGAACAAAGGAACTATTTAAGGCCTCGGCATACGCCTCTCTCTTGCGTTATCATTGGGTGTCTCCTTAGGGCTTATCGTGGGCGCCGTCTTCGACTGCTATCCGATCATCGTTGCTATGACTGCCCAAACGCAAGAGGAACTCCTTGCCGCACATCTTGAGCAGCAGAAGATCGATGTAATTTGGTTCGATCTACGCTGTTTATTTTTTCGTTCTCGAGGTTGTAGTTAGAGATATTTGAAACTGTAATCACTTTGCTTTGGTGATTCATGCCGACCTTAAATGCGTGGACTTTACGTGTAATACTTTACCAGCTGCTGTTTTTGGAACTCTTCTTCCGAAACCTGTCTCTCCTATAACATGATAAGATTATATCAAGGCATACGATGGATTATTGTTAGTTGCGGTTTTTTACTGGGTAGAGTGATGGATCAGGAAAGTTGTAATAAAAGGTTAAACGCCTTAAATTGGAAGTTGCATCAATGGAGTTTGTTTGTACTTGTATGGACAACAGAGATGTTTATTTTTTTACAAATATTCTAACTGGGTTTGGTGCTTTTTGGCAGTCATGAATAATTAGAATTGAGAAGTTCGTTTCTTTTGTTTGGGGGAGGTAAAACTCCGTTGGCTTATTCATGAAGTTGTGACATTATGCTTGAGGGGATAGTTATGTGAGTACTTACTGTTTTGCATGACATGGTGACTTGGTGCCTTCCTGTTGGCACTGAAAATAGTTCTTTGTGGGGTTTTTTGATCCTAAACAACATGTTGATGTCTAATTTGAAGCTTTATCCAACTTGAAACTGAACAAGTTGGATACGGGTCAGGAAATTTGTATCCGATTATAGATGGCCCAATTCAAGTTGAATACTTTTAAGTCAAACCACCATCCCTAGATTCAATGAATTTTGGACTAGTATCGGCTTATTGAAAATTTTAATTACAGGTTTTGTTTGGATAGAATATCAGAGTGATAATAAGATTGCTCTTATGTACTAAATACTGGTTGATAGTGGAATCTGATTGTAATAAGAAGGGTTAGATTTTATTTCTCTAGACCATTGAGGCTACTCTCGCTGTCTTTCTCTTGGGCATCTACCCTTGCTTGTCACCTCTTATTCTCTCAGCTTACTTCTTCATATTCTCTTTTCCACATTAATAACCAGATTGCTTTTCTCCAAATCTTGCTGGGATTTAACCAGAATAACAGTAGTGCCCTTATCTAGATTCTATAGTTGCTTCTTACCGTGGCACCAAAAATAACATATTTTCTTTCTCTGTATTGTGATCACAACTTCTTCCTTATAATCTTTGATTACCCTTCATTTCTTTTGCATCTTCAGGAATGAAATTTACATATCCTCATCACTTTGTTTTCCCATAAAATCTTTTTTTTTCATGCTTCTGTTTGCAGCTAGATGAACCTGTAGTCGAGGATGATGAGGACGATGTTGATGATGAGGATGATGATGACAAGGATGATGATGCTGAAGGTAAGTCTATGATATATTTGTTTAGGTTTTTTTATCTACTTTCAATAAATTTCTGGATCTGCAATTCGAAAACATGACTTAGTCATGAGTCTGAATTGACCTGAATGCTTAACCAATATATCACTCGTTTGAAATTTTAAAAGTTATACTACTATACAGTGATTATTTTTCTCTCTCCAAAGAATTACAAAGGTTCTAACTTCTAACTGATTATAGAACTGTTTGCACCATTACTTTTCAAAAAGAAACTAATAAGATGGATTCTAGCGTGTGGTGAACTATCTTCTTGTAGTTTTATATCAATCCGGTTATATTGAAGTAAAACAACCTAAGATCATTCAGAATATCCTTGTAAAAAGGTAACATCTAGAAGATAGTAATAAACTATAGTGTAAAACTTAACAGTAGTGTATCACTTTTTTCCACACTCAAAACAACTTTTGGCTTAATTGATTTATGATAACAAATTATATGAGCTTCATGCAATTACCACACTGATCTACTTTTCGGGCATTATAGATTAGTGGCTACTTTCATACTTGTATTAGTTAATTTTAGACAACTAGTTAGGGTCAAAGGCTGCAAGCCCTTGGGTGTTGTCATTGTTATGGCTTAATGGGAAAGTATTGAAGCTTCAAAATGACAGCTCAGAGGAATGAAGCCTTGTGTTAGAGGCTGGAAGATATCCTTGCATAGAAAACAATTATGTATTGTGGTTGTGATCCACTATAATAACAACAATTGAAACACGGTTGGATGATAGAGTGGTCGAGAAATATCAGAGCTGACAGGAGTAAAGAGGGGATCTTCTAGGTTATGCAACGAGAAGGTTCCAAGGTTCGATGGTGGTATTGTGTAGAAATTAGAGATGCAGTGACATCGAGGTGGTGTTGAAGAGGTTTGGGAAGCAACAATGGGGAGGTGTGCTTGTGAGGTCTGGAAGCAGCATCAGATTGGTGTGCCACTCTATGAAGCACCGACACGTTGGATTGAATGGCGTGCTCGTTGGACATTGGTTCGTCATCGACACAGTCGAATACATGTCGGACACGTGTCCAGTCGTGTTTTTTTTAATTATATTGGATACCACACGGTGTGTCAGACTCGGGCTTTCTCATCCTGAGCAGACTGTTAAGGTGTCATGAAATTGAGATTCCTCACCACGGGGAGGCGTTGTGAAACCTTTGGAATCCTTCTTCCTCACCAGGAAGCCTTTGTCCTTTGCCCCGAGTCCCCCTATCTGTTGTTGCACATTGCTGCGCTCTCGAGCCCTTCGCCTTGAGCCCCTCTCTTGGTCGTCGTGCGCTGCCACACTGGTCGAGCCCTTTGCCGTGAGCCCCCCATTATCGTCACACTCTGCCACGCTCCCTTTGCCCCGAGCACCCCTCTGCAGCAATTGCACTGTCGTCTGCTATCAGACCCTCCGTGCTGAGACCCTGAGTGACCTACCTGCAACTCGGTGGTCGTCGCGCACTCTCGGGCCCTCGGTGACTTCACCGATGTTCGGCAAAGCATCTTCCTCAGTGGCGTTCGGCATCCAACGAGGGTAAACTAATTTACCTATTTTATTTTTTTAGTTTTTTATTATGGGTTTTTGATCTGTGGTTTTTTAAATCTGGGTTTTTTTAAACCAAGTTTTTTACTGCTAATCTGGGTTTTTTGACTGTTGATTATTCTAGTAGGTAAATCAATTTATCTTTTTAGTAGTTAAATTGTTAACATATTTTTCTAGTAGTTGTTTTTTTGTAGGGACCAACCATATCTTGCAGTATTCTTCTTCGTTACAAAAAATCTAATTGGTTTAAGTCCAACCTGCAAATTAGATGTTCATTAGTTACATGGAGATAGCAGCATCATGACTACAACATTAATAAGCTCCAACAATGGTTATGGAAATTGGATTTATTTTGTTAATAAGCTACATTAGTAAGTGTAGCGGAGACACTATAAAAGGTTATGGAATATTAATTATATATATACACTATAAAACTCATGTTAATCAAATATCATTAAAAATGACGTGTTGTTGTGTTTGTGTCATGTTTGTCTGCGCTTCTTAAGTGCCACCTCTCCTTCCTTTTTCTCTCTTTTCTTTTTATCTCACAAGACAATTAAAAGAAAACAATTGAAATTAAGCCGATACGGTAGAAATCTGAACACTGTGATGCATTAATGCACAAATAAAACTCATGCACTTTAATAAAGTTGGTGATTGATGGGGAGATAGTCTTATTTCTGATTTTAAAATAATTTACTGAAAATTATCCTGAATCTCTTTTTAGGTATGTAGGCATGTTTTTTCTTATATCCAGACAATTTTACTTAATGTTTTATTTGATTGCCCTTTATTCTGCTGTTTCCGGAAATTAACTTTTGATTGTCACTATTTGCAGGACAAGCAGATGATGCCACTGGGAGATCAAAGCAAAGCAGAAGTGAAAAAAAGAGCCGTAAAGCCATGCTGAAGCTTGGAATGAAGCCAATTCCTGGTGTTACTCGTGTCACGGTGAAAAAGAGCAAAAATGTAAGTTTTGAGGGGCTTTGTTGTTGCTATTTGCATTATTGATGCAGCATATTGTAAATGCATTTGTTCCTGTTGTGGCATTTCAGATATTATTTGTGATATCGAAGCCAGATGTATTCAAAAGTCCAACCTCAGACTCTTATGTTATATTTGGAGAGGCAAAGATTGAGGACCTGAGCTCACAACTCCAGACTCAGGCTGCAGAACAGTTCAAGGCACCTGATCTGAGCCATGTCATCTCAAAGCCCGAGACTTCTGCAATGGTTCAGGATGATGAAGAAGTCGATGAGACTGGTGTTGAACCAAAGGACATTGAACTGGTCATGACCCAGGCTGGGGTTTCAAGGTCTAAGGCTGTTAAGGCACTCAAAGCTGCAGAAGGTGACATAGTTACTGCAATAATGGAGCTTACTAATTAAAGCTCAAGAATTAAGCTGTTTGCTTTCCACTGTTTGTTTTTCCTGCCTTGTTGAGGATACAACAGCTGAATTTTATCTATAGATTTTTCCACTCCTAGTGTTGTATTAGTAGTAAAAACCCTCTGTGCTTCAGCCTGGTGGTTCTCTATTATTTGAGGAATGCTTCAATGTGATGTGCTTTCATGAACGTGAATGTCTAAAACTGGTATCAGCTGGAGGTTGTTTCATGTGCTCTTGATTCTTGTTGGTCTTGCGGTTTTCCCTAGCAAGACTACCATTTAATCTTCACTATCACATCCTTTGTCACATATTATTGCTGCAGCATTTATCTTGGCTGCTAACCAAGAAGATTTGTTTACTATGTTATGCTACATCACTAGAGCATTTTGTACTAATGATCAAGATTCGAGTTGTAATGCTCGGTATAAGCGGTATTATCAGGCCAACAAAAGATTAATATGAGTGGTGTATATCAATCCATCAGCATACCCTATCATATTGTTTGTGCTTTATAAGATAAACCAGTAAATAACATCAGAAGAATGTTCTTGTGAGGAATTTAAGATTTGAGAGATTTGTATCAGTAAACCAGTGATATCAACATGCACTTTATAAGAATATCTGTTTTTTCTCATGAGTGTATTATTATGTGAAAATAGTCCATCAGTAATAGAGATTTGTATTGATCAATCAAAAGTTTTGATGTGTAAACTACATAAATGGTTTTATAGGCTGAAACAGGTAGCTAGACAATGTTCTATAAATTCAGTAGAAATTATTTTACTGTTTGAATGTACTATAAATGAATTGGAAAATCTTTTTACTTTATATACTACTACTAATCACACTATGTGAAGATTTTTGCAAATAGCACAAAAAACTGGGTCGTAAAGGAAACTGAAAAAAGGAGTTCAACATATCTTCCTTTCCAAAATTTATATTGCATATATACATATATATTCCACTAAATATTAGATTTGGCATATAATTCTTCAAAATATTTAAATATTTCATATACCACTCCCATGAAATTTCATCCGATAAACCCGAGTTAACTCGTACTAATCACGATTACATTTTATTAAAAATAAATATCTAAAATGGTCTCTTTTTTTCATGAATTGTTTGCACCCTCATATTACTTGATAATTTTGAAGGTTATAATTGAATTAAAAAATATTTTAAATACTTATTTTATAAATTATTTGACACCTTATGATCCTAATATTTGTGAAAAGTTGTTAGTTTTGATTTTAATCTAAGATATTTTTACCTTTATAAGTATATATATATATATAT